AATTTTTGTTTTACTTTTAAAAGAGGGTAGTGTACTAAGGGGAAGGGTTGGGAGGGGAGAAAAGTACAACAATGAATGAATGGAAATCCAAAGTCTCTGTAAATTTTTACTGAAATTAATAATAAATTTAAATTAACAAAAAAATTCCACCGGTTATATCATGGAAAACCTAGACATTTCACTGCCTTTCAAGCAAAACTGAAAATGAAGATGTGTTCTTTGCACATCGGTATGAAACACAGGGCATTTGAAAAGTATACTGATATAAAATCCTACCAGAATCGGCTTCAATACCATATAATGAGAAAGAATTACTTATTGGGGAAGCCATTGTTACTCTGGTAAACTATAATGAACCTAATGGCTTCTATTAAACATCTAAATGATAAGCCAGTTGGTGCACACAAAGTTAATGGTTTTGCTCTAGAAATAATTTCTAAATTCAGCTATAGGTTCCTACACACAGTATTGATGCAGTAAGATGCATTTAAAAAGTGTTTAATAAAACACTTTCATGTGCTTTGTATACAGAGCAAATGTAAAGAGAAGATTAATCTCTTCTTTTTGCTTGCAAATTGACTTCATTTTTTTTTCGTGCTTTTTCTTATTTTGACTATTCATTTTTTTAACATTTAAAAATGTATACACTTTTTTTCCTTTGGCAGAAGGAAAGGAACGAATTTCCTGAGTTTATTCTAAATGGTGTTCTGAGTAACCTCAAAAGTTGTCTAGAGTTGTATTTGAGGAATATAACATTCAGATCTACTTTGGTTTCCATTCTGTCCACGACCTCTTTTATTCAAATTGTTTTAAGAAAACGGGCAGTGACCAGTTGTTCAGGTTTGTTCTTTTCATTGGTACCTAGCTGCCTGCAGACCTAATTCCCTTTTCCCCTTCTGGGATTTGCCTGTCTTTGTTGTTGTCAAGTGTCATCGAGTCGCAGACGACTCACGGCGACCCTATGAACGAAAGAGACCCGAGTATTTGGATAACTTTTATTGCTTCTCCACGTTCTCAAGAGTTTCCGGAGGCTAGCTGTTTCGGAAGTGGAAGCCGCTTCTGTTTCCAAACTTGTTTTAATCCATGGCAAGC